TGGGAAGGTTTTCGGTAATATTGGAGGTCCCATAACATTGAAGATATATTATAAGGAATCCAAGGTCAAGAAAGATCCCGCATCATCGACAAGGTACAAAACGAGTTTCCCACCAAAAGCAGGTCTCGACAAAGGGAATTTTGGTGTATTCCTAGCATTTCTACAAAACCTTTACACGAGGCGCAAAACTCTGCCCAGGTCTCAAGATCAAGCAAAAAAAAGCACCAAACTAGCTTCCCAGCAAAATCAGGCCTCGTCAAAGGGAATTTTGGGGCTTCTTAGTAGAAATATATCATAAAATCCTTCACGAGGCACAAAACTCTATTCCCGGCTCCCCAGAACTCAACGCCAGGTCGCCGTTATAGGGATCTTGAATGGATTACTAGCATAGCCCCATGCACCCTAAAAGCCTTAAACCCTGAACCCCACGCCCGAATCCCACTGCAAGGTGCCAAGCTAGATTCCCAGCTTGCCAATCCTATAGTTTGGCCCGTATTTCTTTTTATTTCTTTGGTAGACTCTAATTCGGAAGCGAAGCTCATTCCACGAGGTACCAGCTGGTACGAAAGCATCGGAAGGTTGCAGAAACAACCGATATGTATCTGTCAAAGTGTCGCTGGTCGAGCTTTAATAATATTTCCTGGGAAGGTTTTAAGTGGCTAGCAGACTCATTCATTTATGAGAGGTTACGCACGAGCAAGCTGACTATACAACCCCCTGAGCCCGTTCTATCCGGAAATCGCATGCAACTACACAAGTATAGTATTCTTATATAGACAACATAAGACAATACGATATTCCCGAAAATACTTCCCCATGTCCTTTTCGGTATTTTTCTTCGTCTATTTCGGCAATATTAATATGAGCTCTGAAATTACCGGAGAATAATTCCCNNCCGAAAGGGGGGTACGTCCCCCCCCCTTTCGGCAATTTTAATGATAGGTGATAAAAAAAATATCGAATAAATATCAATTTTATAAATCCAAATATCAATATTTTAGACATAAATTGCTTATATTGCTAGCAATAAATCATCCATAATTTCAATATTTGCTATCAAATTCCAATGAAGATTTAAATTCATCTATAATATATAAGTCGTCTTTTTAGAAATATATTTCTTTAATACTAAAAATATATTAATGAAGAAATTATAGAACAAAAAATTTTATTTAAATGAAGATAATGTATATATATAATATTAAAAAAATATAAATTAATAAATATATAATATCTTTTCTTCCAAATTTGATATTCATTCATATATCAAATTATCATATTTTTTCTATTATAGATTTATACGGAAATTCTCTTCTTTATCTTATCTTATTTTTAGTAAGAAACAAATCATAATAATTTTAATATCTCGTAGTAAGTTAATCAATAAGTATATCTATAAACCTTATTTTTTCTCATTTCCCAATAATATATTTCTCCGAAAAGATTGAAGAATCCTCAATATCATCGAGATATGCCTACCATATCTTTATCTGAGCTTTTTTTAGCAGGCTCCATATCATAGCAGCTTTCCCGTTCCGCCGCAGCCAAACGAGAAATCAACATTCCTTCCTATAATCTTTACGCATCGAAACGAGAGCTTCTTAAGCTTTCGAGATTTAAGATTTAATACAACCTAATATAGGAAATCTTTTTTCTATAATCCTTAGATAGATTCAAATAGGAGCGTCTCAAAATGATAGAATCCTTTCAGGAAAGGAGATATCGCTTTGCGGATATATCATGTGGATCCCAGACTCTTTTAATTATCCCAAATCAATCAAAATATCCTTCCATTCTAGCAACTGATAGATAGCGTATCGAAAGTTCGGTCGCTTTTATATTCGCCTCATACGTTTCCCCTTTTTGGCATAGAGAAATATCTGCCATCTTTTTGCTGCTTTGCAGAAAGTTACCAAGGATATGTTGCGTAGCTTGTAATGCGAATAGCGTGCTACTCTTGCAGATATCGAATATTTATGCGGGACTTTATGATAAATGAATCAAGCAGAATTTCGCTTCCGCTATAAATACCACGGAAACTCCTTTCCATTATTCACAGATAAAATCAAATTCCCAGGGATAAATCTAGCATGGTTGGTTCACAGTAATGAATATGCCAACCTCTGTCGAACCACCTTTTGAATTCCTAGCTGCGCTGGTGCACCTAGGCGGAGCCTCTAAAATTTAGGGTCCAGGTTAGGATACTATTAAAGATTCCTCTTTATACCCCTTGGGTTTAGGGTTTAAGAGAAGCAACTTGAAGCAACATCAAAAATCAACTTTGACCCAAATCGAACCCTCAACTCCATTTGAAATTTCTTACACAAACAGTCTCTCAGCCCAACTGCACCAGGTGCCGCTTGGCTGCCACCAACACTGATGCCTCGCAGGTGTAGCGTGTACGGTTTAGGGTGTAGCTCCAGGGTTGAGCCTTCAGGGTCTTGGGTGTAGGGGGTTTAAATAATAAAGCCCTAATCCCTAAACCCTGAACCCAAAGCCCTCATCCCTGAACCCTAAAACCCTAAACCCTCAACCTAAAGCCTTGAGCCCAGGGGTTTCAGAGCCTGGTGCTGCAGTGGTCTTCCACTTCCATCAGCAATAGGAGTACATATAAGGGTTTCCCAAAATTGGGGACACCTTTTGGGGGCCTCTCTAATAAGGGTTATAGTATTTTGGGGTCGGGTCTCCCTATATTGGGAAACTGCCTATTGCTAGGGAGTGGGGGGTTTGATTATTGGAGATAGGGATTAATGTGGCAATGCATTTTGTCGAATCTTCTTCGCCCCTGTGTAGGGCGGACGGGTAACTAAAGAGTCACCCCTAAACAGTGTTACAGGACCTTTAAGAAACATGTCCAAGTACCCTATGTATCACTTCCTTTTGCCGCCCACCTGGTTCTCGTTCGACAATCATAACCAGCACAACAACGTTCGAATGCTATCGCGAAGCCTCTGTTGATACTAGAAGTCCTGCTGGCCTGAGTAACTACAACACCGTCATCTCCAAGGTATACGGTACTTAGGGTCACGCAGGATTTTCAGTATCCCAGGCTGAACCCCTAAACAATGATCCTAAACTTCCTGAACTGTGAACCCGAAGCCTTCAAACCCTAAGCAGTTAGCCCTAAACCCTAAACCCTAAACCCTTAAACCCTTAAACCCTAAACCCTAAGCCCTAAACCCTAAACCCTAAACCCCCCAACCCTGAACCCCTGTGACCCGGACTTGGCACTGCCAGAAATTCAGAGCTGCATGGATTGACTGGGTTGCTGTTAATGGACTTAAATTAAGTTACCATAATGGGTATATATAGTAAATAATAGGGTTTCCCCAATATAGTAACTCAATTTAAGTTCCTTAACAGCAACCCAGTGAACTCCAGTGACCCGGACTTGGCACTGCCATAAATTCAGAGCTGCATGGATTGAGGGTTTGGTGGTATCTGGGTCAAGGTTTAGGTCTAACGGCTAGGGTTTAGGGTTTAGGGTTCAGGGTTTAGGGGTTTAGTCAACTCGGGTGGGTTTAGGGGTGTAAAAAAAGGATGCTTCCTGGCTACAGGCCTCCACTGCCCTTGGGCAGCTCAGTCAAGACTCGCATAAGATGCAACCCTAAAAACCCTAAACGCTAAACCCTAACCCTAAACCGTAAACCCTAAACAACATGGGACTCCATGAACTCTATATTGGCTGCTTCCAAGAGTAGCCGCATGATTGCCGCGCACATGACAGTGCATGTCCGTGATTTCGAAGTGAAGAACAAGCAGGAAGATTGAAATGAGTGGCGTTTTTTTGGTGGTTAAACCTAGTAAGATTATATTCCCTATATAAAATACTATAGCCCAAAAAGAGGATAGAATCTTACTCTATATTGGGTACCATAGTATCCCCCAAAAAACACTACTGAAATGGAGCCCTGCATTTCTGGGCGTGTACAGTACTTCAGGGCTTACAGCCTGCGTTGGGTGGCAGTGGAGCAGGCCGACCTTCTTTTCTGAGGTGGCAACTCACACTTGCTCTATAGTCTATATCCCCCTTAAAATAACCCCTATAGTGGTCCCCTATCTAATCCCCTATATAACCCTTTTTATAGAGTTTAGACTATAGCTCACATGCTCCTACAGGTCGATGAGAATGGTTGCAGCATTCGCGGAAGGAGGTCACCATGGCGCCTCCTTGTCTCTTCTCTACAGTGGTTCCCCCACTCCCCCCCTTTTTCCTACCCCCCTAGGTTCCCGCTTAATTAACCTTGATTAAGCCAAATAACCCTTAAATAGCCTGAATTAAGGGGGGGAACTAGGGGGCTCGTAGCGGGCGGTAGTAGGCGTACCAACGATACAGGCGACTGCCAGATTGCCTCCAAGTTTGCAAGGCAATTGGAGGTGTCCGTCACCATGTGTATGCGGACGCGTAGCTGGGTGTTCGCGGTGGCCGTGAACAGCGGAACTTCTCTCCCATGCCCTTCTCCGTCCGTGAGTTTGAGGATGAGCCCATGCTCGCGATAGGTCACCGTGTAGTTTCCTCGCCCCACCGCTTGAATTCTGGTTCCTTCCTAGATCCCCAATACCCTTTACAGAGCCTAACTACCCCCATAGGACCTACATAGACCCTATTTATCGTAGTTGGAGGGTCCTGGTTCACTTGAAGCGCGACGGTTGCGCATAAAAGGCCTGCTGGAAGGCTGAAGGGCATGTCTCCAGGCTCGCATAATGGAGAAACTCCTCTACCCCCCAAAATGAGCCAGAGTCTAAACTCCTTAACAGGGGATATATAGGGGATTAAATAGGGGACCATTGTGGGGGTTAATCAGCGGGATACAAGGAGTTTAGACTATAGCTCAAATAATGTCTATATCTATAGCGCGAGCCCTCAACCCTGAACCCCCCAAGCTCCTGCATGCTCCTCAGTTCCTTCGCCATGGGGGCAACCTTACATGGAAGGTTTAGGGTTTAGAGGTTTAGGGTCTAGGGTGGAGCCCTCAGGATTTCTCTGACCCCGAATCGCTGACAACCTTGCACAACTTGGGGGTGCGTTCTTTGGGGGGTTCCTAGACAAAGGATTATAATTTCTTAGGTTGTCTACAGGCGGCCGCTAGCTTTGGAACCCCCCCTTTACAGTCAATCTAGCCTTAATGCCTAAAAGCTGCAGCGCGGTAGATCCATGGAACTATGCTCCAAACCCCTACAACCCCCCACCCCTAAACCCCTAAACCCCATAAAGTCCTAAAGCTTCGTCCCATAAACCCCCTAAACCCTGCATCCCCAAACCCTACCTAAACCCTAAAACATAGCAAAGAAAAGCGCCTGCAGGGAGCGCAGGGCCCCAGCACCCCAGCGGCAAAGGCGTTCCTGCTTGTTGAAAGAACTGCTGTTTGTAACTGTTTAGGGTGTAGGTAAGGGTTTAGGTTTACAAGGGTTTCTTTTAATGGGGGTTCATAGGGAATGAGGGAATATACTATGAGCGGATTCTATGTGGATTCTATTCCCTTAGTCCATACAAAGAAGCAGGAAGTTTAGGGTGTAGGTGAATACTGTTGATGGAGGAAATCTTGCACCACCTTAACTCCCTAAAGTCCCAGGAATTACAGTACTTTAGGGCCCCAAGGTGGTGCAAGATTCCATCCATCAACAGTATTTAAAAGGTTCTTAAGAGAATGAGACTCTGCTTGGCTGCCGTTGTCACTAGCCGGCTAGCCAGCTTCTTTGACGTGTAGTAGGGTTTAGGGTTGAGGGTTTAGGGTTTAGGCACTACACAAGCTCCCATGTTACCCACTCATTAGCACTACCTCTATACTAGTTGCCTGCATACTTGTTCTTAGCGATTTCACCCTCCGAGTAAGACTTGAGTCCCTACAGGGTCCAAGTACCCAAAATAATGGGCTTTAGATCCCAAATACTATAATCTGAATGGTCTTTGGTATCCACAACCCTGATATTTGGGTACTTGGACCCTTAGGTACAGACAAATGCCACAACGAACGATTTTGGCCACGAATTTGCTCAAAACTGGACCCAATGCAGTCAGTCTCAACCATGGCAAGTGAGGGGTGAAGATGAATCCCCTCATACTATACTATACCTCCCCATCCCTAACATTAGATATGGCCCCCCACTAGATAGAGTCTCTTATGGACAAATAGTTCAGATAAGGGGGTGGGGCGCTTAATATTCATTATGAAAGGATTCCAAACCACTGGGTAGCCAGGTTTGCTTCGAACACCAGAAGGCCTTAGACCCTCAACCCTAAACACTAAAAACACTAGAAACCCTAAACAGATTTAAAATCCCTAAAGCCCCTAAAAACACTAGAAACCCTAAAGATCCTTAAAATCACTAAAGCCCCTTAAAACACTAGAAACCCTATAAACATCGTTAAAATCACCAAAGCCCCCAAAAACACTAGAAACCCTCAACCATCCTTAAAATCCCCAAAGCCCCGAATAAACCTAAGCCGTAGGGCGTACATTGTAAAGGCTCTAGGATGCCGGCGTCGGGGTAGGGTTTAGGGTTTAAAGTTTAGGGTTTAGGGTTACTAGACTTTCAAGCGTGGTGTCTTTTAGGTCCCCCTTAAGTAGATAGATTATGGGGGTCATATAGGGATAATGGAAAAGAAATGGAAACTACTATTTATGGTTCAGGGTATAGAATATGGGGTATATGCGAATCTTGTTACACTATACCGAAAGCCATATTCTCTCTACTTGAGGGGGACTGTAGGCTTTAGAGCTGCTTTCGACTTGCTGGTTTTTAGTAGGGAATATGGGAATATCATTGATATTTTCCCTTATTCCCAGATGAGATCTAGTAAGTCGAAGACAGCGGACAACAACAGTTCTTTAGGCCTCTCCCCTAAACCCTTAAACCCTAAACCCCAAACCCCCAGCTTCCCTTTACCCTCCCCCCTGCCATCCTCCTTTGGGTTATCTAAGGGGAATTTAGTGGCAGTATCGGGGTCGTAGGGAAGTCCATAAGTTTAGGGTATCCGGGAAGTTCCGAAAACAGCTCACAACCCCTGCGGCCTGTTTCCCGAACTCAGCCGTCCAGTCAGCGAACCTCTTTAAGACGCCCGACCTGCATGTGGGAACTTTCAAAATTGGGACAATCTAAGGCATCAAAAGGATGCATCAACATGCCTACCCCGTCCTGATAAGGCGTTGCTTATATGTAATGTCCTTATAACTCCCACATACCCTAAGCCCTATACCCTACATCCCCAAGGGTCCCTGACGGGCATCCCGTTCCGGAGAAATATGGGGTAGCAAGGAGTTAGCAGTTGATGGGGTTCCTTATTTGCAATTCTACGGTAAGGTTTTTAAATTTGAAAAAAATCTTGGAGGTTTGCGAAGTTCACGGCTTGTTATAGGCGGCTTTTGCCGTACCGCATCTGGGGCACCTGAAAGAGTTTAGGGCTTAGGTTTTCGGGTTTAGTTGCAATCCTATTTCTTGTTTCCATTTGACTTTGCATTCCCTACTAATAGTCAGCAAGTTGACCCTCATCCCTATATAAATCCAGGGACCTTCTTGTTGGCACTCTCAACCTGCTCCGAGACTTCTGACAAGATGTCAGCAAGGGCTGCTCTTACTCCAATGAAAGAGACATCATAGTTTCAATCACTGTCAAGTCGTCATCACTCTCAAACTCATCGTGCTCCATAAAGTGAAGGACGAGGGGTTCGTTGCTTGACCCCATGCGGGAGAGGTAGGCATCGAGCATCCTCCATATTGGTCAATGGGTGCGTACTACAGGGGCCTAAATATTACCAATATCAGTTTGAGGTCCATTTGAGGTACCATAGACCATAATTATACGCGGAATATGGAACCATAATGATGGTAATTATTGAGGCCATAGTAATCGTTGTTGCAACTCCGATCTCTTTCGTCATCGTCGTAGCATACAAGCCAGGATTGGTCATCCTGTTCTCGTTGCTGTCTCGGAAGCCGACCCCTATATGAGCTACAGTGTATATTCTCCCATATAGTTAATGGAAAGGCTTCCTCATCAGGGAATATTTTAGGGACTAAACCATACCACCAAAGGGACACCTATGTTTACTATTTATGGTTCCTTAGTTCATATAACCACCGCGACCCTAATATTAGGCCCTATAGGTCCAAGACACTCCAACAGAATAGACTTCCTCTTGTAGGGTTCCCGGTTTAGAGCTTCTCTCTCGTGTAGGGTCCTTCTTTGAGGGTTCCTTTTTTTTAGGGCTCCTGCTTTAGGATTGTTCCTTCAGCGTTCTGCGAGGTTCTTAGGATCTTCGGGGTTCTGCTTTAGGGGCTTAGGATTTGGGGTTTAAGCCTCTTTTTTGCGCAGTTGTTTTCGTTGGTGCTCTTCAAGCCTTCCCTTTTGGGGTTGCTCATTTAAAGGGTTTTCTTGAAGGTGCCGGCTGAGGGGTTCTTCTTGAGAAGTTTTCTCGGTTGCTCACTTCAGGGATCTCGAGGTTTCAACTTTTAGGTTTTTCCTGTAGGGTCACCGCTTGAGGGTTTTTCTTTTCGCAGGGTTGCTCCTCAGGGTCTCTCTGTCAGGGTTCCTGCATTAGGGTGCTGTCACGCACTTTTCTTACCTTTGCAGGATAAGCTCTTCTGAGGTATAATGAGATTGGAATTCGTTCGTGCTTCATGGGAGAGTGCTTCCAAACGAAGGTAATGGAAACTGCGTATAGATTTCCAACAGATGAGGAGCCAGGGGGATCCCAGATACTTCTCTGTTACGTGACAAGGCGTCTTGTTGAGTGAATGCCTGTACTTGAGACGCTGAGCCTTAAGTCGTAAACGCTTGTCATCCCTAAGCTTATAGTCGCCCTGAAGTAGATAGAATATAGCTTTGGGTATGTTATAAAAAGATCCCCCATATATATCCCATATTCTATCTACATAAGGGGGACTATAGGAGCTTAAAAATCCAAACATGTAAAGTCTACCTACCCGGCTAGCATGGAGAGTTGGACCCTTGAATGCGCGCTGTGGGGTTGGGGCAGAATGCTCTGATTCTTTCTAGGTCATAGAACGTTTTCGTTTTCATAATGATAATGAAAACTAAAAACTGTCTTCGAACCCATACCCTAGACCTGGCCAGCCTCGAGGAGTCTTTGCCATTCTGAGTGAGACAGGACAAAGACGGTCTCCTAATCCGCCACTGGGGGGGGGGAAGGCTGATCCCAAAAACCTTAACCCATAAACCCTAAGCCCTAAACTCTTTATAACCCCCACGCCCCAACCCCTTAGGCCTAAACCATAAATGCCAAACCATACACTTCCCTTACTGGGGGTTAGTAGGGTATATCTTCTATAGGGATTATATTCCCTAAGCCCTAAATCCCCAAAACCCTAAACCCTAATCCCCAGTAAATACTGACCTGCAGCTCCGGCCTAAATGCATCTCGGTTCATCACAGTCAACTCATTGGAAACCGCGATGAATTTCAAAGGACCCTCTCCATTCTTTGGGAAAGGGCCTTGGACGCAGATTAGGGTTTAGGGTTAAGGGTTCAAGGTTTTGGTTGCCAGTAAGAATGAAGGAATGGAAGAAAGAACCCTAAACCCTAAATCCTAAACCCTAAACCCTAAACCCTAAACCCTAAACTGGAAGTTGCGACATCCTTCGGGGCTTCCATGGAGGCTCCTACTAACAGTACTAGGGGTGGGGATACGTCATGGTTTAGGGTTTAGGGTTTATGCTCCTCCTCACCCTAAGAAAAGGGTTTAGGGAGTTAGGGTTTACGGCTGCTCCTCATCCTGAAAAAGATTGCGCGTAGTACAATTTCTAAGAACTATTGGTGAAGCGTTGTAGCACTGCCACTGCCATCGCTATGTTTCTACCTATTCGTTGTTTCCATCGCCTTTTCTGCCTTAAACCCTTAACTTACTGGCTGTCTCCTATAACTATGGGGGAGTATTGAATATTCTTGAGTAGAGTGGTAGGAGTACTGAGCATAGAAATGGAAGCCATTCCTGCATATGAAATGGTGGAGGAATGTTTCCAGAACTGGAAGAGAGCCTTACAGCTAGAGCAGCTAGGACCAAGTTTCCTCTGGATGCGGCAGGGACTCTTTGGTGGGTTTGAAGGATGTGGTATGGGACAGACTTTGTTGCTTGCTTGGGTCTCTGCAGTTCCCTACAAGTGCTACTAGCACTCAACTGAGGCGTAGATTCAGGGGCGAATATGGCCTGCCCTTGATGTTCAACACCCTCTTGTCCTGAACATACAGAGTCCCCATAGAAGCCTACATGTGGGGAGGATTTCGGGCGCTGGGTGTGTTTAATGCTTGAAAAGAAGCTGCCTCAAGGGTACGCAGCCCTGCAGAAGGAACAGACAAAGACCACTGAAATCATGCTGATGTTGATGGTGCCTGGCTTATAGGGACGGGGTGCTTGTAGCGCTTCGGAGGCGACCCCCACTGCGAGAAAAAAACATACATAGGGATTACCAGGTCCATGCCCGAGCTAAGAGACGCGCTTCACTCAAACCTAAAAATAGACACCTTCAAAACAAGCTTCCCCACATAAGCACCTCAAAGAACGAGGAAACTTCGGCCTAAGCTGTAGCAAGCTGCTTGTAAATGCCCTCAGAAATGCTTCGCCAACCCCAATCCTAAGCTCTAGGACCCCATCATTGTCATAGAAGACTTACTGTATTCCGCTTCGCTATAATAGAAAAACATCTTAAATCGTTCCCTAGGGTTATTCTACAATCCACATGAAAAGAATTCCGAGGGAGACTACAGATTAAAGGGTCTGAATTTTGGGGGTTTACCACAAAGCTTTTAACAACTGGTGGCTATGCCCCAACCTTAGCCTAGACCTGGGCGCCGAACTTGCGAAGTCTGCATCCGTCCTGTCAAGTCTTATAATTCCGGGGGAAATGCCAGGGATCTGTAGTGTAGTTCTAGGGTTTAGGGTTCTATCAGGATGCCCATACCCCAGGAGAGTGCAAAAGGATGCGAATTCTCGCCACTCTACTTGAAAAACACTATTAACCCTCAAGCTCTGATCCTAACGGATGGTGACCACAAGGGATAATGGTACGTCTACTGGGATCCCTATATACTCCCAATATACAACTATTACGCGGAGGTTCATGGGACTTAGTAACTACCTTTAGATGGCCTCTTCACCTTACTTCTCGGCCCCTAACTCGAGTTATGGGGCAACCATAGGGGTAGTGTAGACGGGCGTAGTAGGGGAACCCATGAGACCCTAAAGCCTAAACCCTAATTTCAAACTTAGGGTTTAGGGTGAAGGTTCTCGGGTTCAAAGGGATTCGTGCTCAGAGCTGCGGATCAGAGATTCGATCTACGGTTGGGAGATGAGGACTCCGTGTTTAGGGTTAATGTTTAGTGTTTAGGGTTTGAGGTTTAGGGTTTTAGGGTTTTAGGGTTTAGGAGGGTGTAGGGGCCAGGGTCCGGAGCTCCCTGTCCACAACCCCTCTGTAGTCTCCTTAGGCATAGGTTTTCCTTCTTAGTCTTGGACTATTGTGTATAGCTCGAAGGAAGTACTAAAAACAGCATTTCCAGTATAGGTCTAAGCGGATTCCACCTGTAAACATATAATGTATTTACCTACTTCTGGTTGAGCGGGATTGAAGGAGTTGAAGAGAAAACGGAAACTACTAGACTCTTGGAAATTACAGTAAAGGGATTGTTATAAGGACCCGTTCCTTCATTCCGCACCCCAAACACTAAACCCTGAACCCCTTAAGGATCCATTCCTTCCTTCCCTGCTTACCAAGGAAAGGCTCAGAGACCTCTGGGTCGGCTGGGGTAGGGTGGGCCCCCACCTAGTACGTGGAGGCTCGTGGGACTCATTAAGTACTTCTAAGCTGACGATAGAACCCTACTCATGCTCGCGATAGGATATGATTAGGCTTACATAAGCCTAATTAAGGCTAATTCAAAGAGGAACCTGGCCGGGGATAGTGTAGATGGGGGGGTTCCGGGGAACCCATCAACAGCCAGATCGCTCAAACTTGAAGCACCTACACCCAGAAATGAAACATCTCATGGGGCCTCTGTCTTTCCTCTGCGGCCGTGAAAAGTAGCGCCAAATGACCTCAGAAGCGGGAGCTTCTGAAACTAGGGTTTAGGGTTCTTGCCATTTTTGCCCTGTGAGCAGGACCCACCAATCCCAGTTTCCATTTCATCTTCCATGCGCTTCTCAGCTACTACAATCATGTCATTGCCTGCGTTCGAACCTTACAAATCCCTACATATCCCTACATATTCTTGAATATCCCAATTAAAATCCCTGCAGAACCTCTGCACAACCTCCCAGCTGCGTCATTCTGGGGATAGATGGAGAATGGTCCCTTACTCGCAAAATGTCTATAGGGTTTAGGGTTTAGGGGCTACAACAGCTATATTTTTCAAAACACCCTAGAGGTCACAGGCTGATCACGAGTACAATCGGGAATTCATGGGAACTACTGTAGAGCTAGGGTTCAGGGTTTAGGGGCCTAGTCCCTACCCTAAACCCTGAACCCTTAAACCCTACACTCCCAACCCCAAGTGCAACCCTATGCCGGGCGGCGCAAAGCGGCTGGAGGTCGCCATTGGGCAGAGGGTCCGGGTACGAAGCCAAGAACGGCATCTGGCATGCTTGGAGTTGAGTGCCCCTTTTTCGGGTTTGTGGGTATAGGTAGGGTTTGGGGATCAGATTCAAGGTTCACGGTTTCTCAAATTTTGGGAACTCTCCGGGACTGTTCGGAGATGTAGAGATTCTAGAGGGAACACGAGAAGCCCTAATAGTACTCATTTTGACAATCTCCTTCATGAGCATGACGGTGAGAACTCGCTGGGAATTGCTGCAGGCTACCTTGGAGGAGGTTCTCAGAAAACTGGAGGGTAACTGGGGACATAAGCCTAAACCCTTAACTCCTAAACCCTAAGCCTACTTCAACTGGGAAAACCTTAGTCAGTCAAGGTAATGGGATGACATGTTAAGGGAGTTCCGATGTTAGGGGTGGGAGCAGGCATTTAAGACTAGGATGGGGGTCTAGGGATTGGGGATGATGTTGGCGCAGACTTTAGGAATTTGGAGCTAGGGCGGCTGAGAGATTTGCGTTTCGCGTTTAGGGGGCTGTTGCTGTATGGGGGGCCAGTCTCAACCTTACTCCTCCGCAGGCCGGGCCAAACGCCAGCAACCCCCGACTCTCTCATCTCTCTTACACCCGGAGCCTAAACCCTAAACCCTACTTTCCTCCAGGCCCTGTTGAGGTTTGGAACATTCCTGCGCCACCGACCCTACACTTCCTCCCTCTACCCTGAATCCTCTCACTCTGAAACCTTGGTTCGCCTTTGGAGCCCTTATCCGTATTTGGGTCCCTTATAAAACTAATTAGGGAAGATATCTAAATTCCCCAAGGCCAACCCAGAAATTATCCCCCCCAAAAAATAACACCCTGTAGCTAACACTGGGCCTGCCGATGCCGTCTGCTCGACGGGATCTCGAGCAAGAGGCTGTGCGAAGCGGTATCCAGCACCCAGCCAGACTACCCACGCCTTCTGTCAATGGGGGCCGACGGCTTCAGGGTGCAAAGGCTCTAAACCCGCCCTAAACCCTCTAGAGCCTTCGGCGGGGTACCATGCTGATGACAAAATGGACCCGTCGTCAGTGATGGAGGTCGGATATTAACATGTCCTTACAACAGTTGTGCCGCGTCTGGGTGGGGTCCCTCAAAACCCAAAACCCTCCGCCCCATCCCATCTGGGTGAACTGATTTGAAAATCTTGCAAGTATTCAACGTAACACTGCCATTGGAGTAGAAGGCTTCCCAAAGCTAGGGTTCTCCGTTGTATGCCCTGCTGCGAAACATCATCCAAAAGAGATCAATGAGGTCCAGAAATGCCCATCTCTTGTTTACGGCGTCAAGGGCCCTTACGGTTTTAGCAGAAAACCTGAACCCTAAACTGTAAGACCCTAACCTCTAAGGCCAAAAACCAAACTAGACCAGAAACTTGGGAAGACCCGCGGGTTTTCGAGGCATGGCCACGCATGCTGCTTTGGAACAGTAGACCCTAAACCTTGCGCAATAATGAAACCCCAACCCTTTGGCATTGAATACCTAGACCTCTGTAAGGACGTGTCAGGTACACTTTTTCAACACGCGGCATCCGCGTAGACCCAAGAACTCTAAACCCATAACCCACAATACCCTCAACCCTAGATCTGAAACCTGTGTTTTCTACTAACCAGCCCCCTGTATACAACCCCACGTTTGGGGCAACCCCTTAGGTTCCCCCAGAATCCACCTTAATGAGTGCTGTTTAGGGTTTAGGGCTTACGGTCATAATCCTAACTGAGGGGGAGCTCTTGCGGGGCAGGGTAGAATAGAGGGGGGGTGTTCAGGTACCCCAAAAGAGAGAATTGTTGGCTGAAATTCATAAGTCCGATAATTACTCATTGTACGACTTAGTTCCAGGCAGAAAGTCCTGTTCTAAAAGATCCGCTCATAACTCATAAGCATCTTATAACCAGGAGGCCCCTTGATCCTAAGCCCCCAGCCCCGCGCATACACCCCAAGTTAGGCTACTCCTGCAAATTACCAGTTGCTTTTAAGTAAATTCGAAACCATTTGGGGCAATCTTCTGTGAAAACTACCATGTGGGGTGAGGTCGGGTGAGGCTTTTAGGATTTTCCCAACACCCGTTCCATGCAACTAGAAAGCCACTGAGGCACCAACCATGTTCCGCAGTGCTGGATGCTGGAAAACTGAGGAGAACTGGAACCTTTCAGGCTTCACACTCCTCCAGACGAACATGAAACTTGAAACGGGGTCTCTCACAGACGACATATAGACCACTGGGATTTTTGAATGGGGCTACATAGGGTTGAATTTTGCTTGGGGAAGGTAAGGCTTTAGAGGAAAAGTGAAGCCTTTGGGTAGTTTCCAAAATAAGGGGCCCCAGATAGAGTGCAATTAGGTTTGGTCATGAACCTGCCCTCCATTGCCCTACATTAGAAACCACCAGGAAAGGGCCCCGAATGTTGGAAGCTCCTTTAGAGGTTTGCGGCTTTAGACTTTCGACTTTTGTCCGATTTTCGGGTCAAGGGTAAGGTTAAGGTCTGGGGGCTTTAGAGATACGGCTGTAAGATTCGTCTCGAGTCCACTCATCCGCTCCCTATAGAACCTGATATCGTCTCTACATACCAAAGTGGGGATCCCTATACCCTCCTCCATAAGACAACTGTCCTACTCAAAGAGACCTGTGTAACTTGAAGGCTTTAGCGTTTAGGGTGTAGAGTTCAAGGCTTAGGGCTTTGCGTGCAGTTCTGCAGCGCTGTTGAAATTCTTTTTACCATTCCTTCTAGAAGGCGGGTTTTGGGGGTGTGAAGGTCTCTGCTTCAAACTGGGCACAATTTGTTTCTGCTTCAAACTGGGCTCATGACTTGTAACAGCTAACCGGACTTCTGCAAGCTATTCCAGGTGTATGTACTGTTGTGAACTGTAAACGTATTCATACATAGTTACTTTGTCCCAACCTCACTCAAATCCTTTTCCCGCGCCTGCACCAGGCTGCCGACGTACTGTCCTGCAGTGACGCATCTAGGGAGTTCTATGGATAAGAGTGTATGAGGGCTTGGGGTTCAGCCCTAAACCCTAAACCCTAAACCCTAAAACCCTAAAACCCTAAAACCCTAAAACCCTAAACCAGCATTGAGCACACTAAAGCGTAAGCCCTGAACTCGAAGAACCAACTCCTGAGCTCCAGAGCCCTCAACCCTAGAAAGGTGACTGGGATTGAGGGATAAACCTTAGGGGTTAAGGGTTTAGGGTTTGGGGTTTAGGGTTTAGGACCCCCCACCCAGTAATAGTGACTATAGGCGATAATAGGGATTATATTAAGGTCCTCTTATATTCCTGGTGAGTGGGATTGAGGGATAAGCCCTGATCCCTAAACCTTCCCTGTGAATCATTTAGGATAATATGCCTGGGCCTATAGAATTCCTTTCCCCATCAAACCCTAAACCCTAACCCCTAAACCTTTTGGCAGGTCAGAACTGAGGGATCCTTTATTAAAAAAAATTGACGGTGCGGAGTTGGGGTTCAGCGTGCGGCAGCTGCAGGGAGTAGATACACTTGAGTAGCGTTTTTTGGTGGTTGAACCTAGTACGATAATATCCCTTATATAAAATACTATACACCAAAAGGAGGATAGAATCTTACTCTATATTGGGTACCATAGTATCCCCAAATAAACTACTACTCAGTTGATATCAACAACCCTGCACAATTTATACCTTGCGGACCAGGGTACCCCACCATACCTCTAAGTCATGTCAGCTATAGCCTAAACTCCCTAAAGGGGTTATGTAGGGGACTATATAGGGGACTATTATAGGGGTTACCAAGGGGGATACTAAGAGTTTAGACAATAGGTGATGTAGGATAATTATCATGAGCTCTGGCTCCTAATTTCTTTCTTCTTCTGATTTGGGCAACGGGACTAATGGCATGCAGGTTCAAACCCTAAACCCTAAACCACTAAAGCAATTTTTCGAGGGGTTTCAGGTGGGAGGGATGCGGGCTAGCTTGTTTTAATCAGCCGTACGTCAAATAATAAAGGGATTTTGGTAACCCCAACCCCCAAAATTAGGACCCTATAACCAGCATATGATAGTCATAGGGTCCTATTTTTGGGGGTTGGGGGTTACCAAAATCCCTTTATTATCAAAAGGAGGTCAAACCCTAAACCACCTGCCTCCGCCCCGAACCCTCGGAACTCTGGCCCCACATAGGCGAACCACACCTTGTCTTGTTGGCTGCCAATGGGGCATGGAGGCATGGAAAAGCAAATGGAATGTACTATAGTGTGAGAATTTGGGGTTCAGGAGGAATGGAAAAGAACATGGAAAGTAGCATGTTTTAGGGGGGAGTCCCATTGTTTCTGAATCCTACTAACTACTTGTAACAGTAGGCTTGTGGGATCTGGGTGTAGGTGTCCAAGCCCTTAGGCAGAATGGGGGGCTTCTTGCAAAGCGGGTCGTATACACTTGATGGAAACATAGGGATCATGAGGCAATGCCAGGGGTCCCCTTTGTGGAGAAACCCCCATGTGGGGTATGGGATCTAGGTTTACGGTGGTTCTCCAACTGTAAAGACTTGGACCCTTGGAATCTATGCAATTAATCTGGTTCCTTCTTGGGATGCTACTGAAGAGGATAAGTACATTCCTTATTGGCTTTGGTACGACGAAAAATCCGCTAAACCCTAAACCCTAAACCCTAAACCCTAATCCAATGACCCATCTCATGGGAGACCTGAGGGGCGCTATGAGACGCCCATCTGATTCGGCGTAAGGCTTGGGGTTTAGGGGGGTTTAGGGTGGTTAGGGCTCAGGGTTCCCCCATGTGATGTTGGCATTTGGACTTAGGGGCTTCAACGCTAAACCCTAGATCATTTCGGGATAGAAAACAATGTGAGGATGATCTGCGCGGCTGTCAATGATTATGGTGCCTGGTTGGGTCCCGAACATACTGCTGTCTTTAAACAACATTAGGAAGACTCCCTAAACCCTCAACCCTAAACCCCCAACAAGGAAAGAACCATTCGGACAACCCTAGACCTTTACACCGACCCCAAGCTGGGTTGGGACCCGGAGGATGATAGGTTTCGGACCTTCTTGTGCTTGCAAGATGGCCGCGCCGCTAGGTGGGAACTTCTTCGGTGCATACTAGGTTTATGTCTGGGCTATACAGGTGTAACATTGGTAACTATTACGGCTTCTACATCAGAGTTGCTGTGCAGCCCATATGTCACACTGACGAAGCTGTTCATAGTACCATGAAAACCAGTGTAGGGTAAAGAGTAAAGAGTTGAGGTTTAACTTGTGCACTCCACTGAGCCTCCCTTGGTTACTGTAAGAGCCTAAATCATTACCAAAATCATTTAGTGGAGGTACCCTATATCATACTTTTTCAAGGAACCTAAGACCACAAAAGTGGTCATGCTCCCTACAAAGCTCATTATATGTCCGTTTCATCTACATGTTTTCTTTGATTCTCCATTATACCGATAAACCTTATATACTGACGCATATGCGTCTGGGCTCTGCGTTCTTCATCCGCCCCCCCGCACCCCCACTCCCCCCTCCCAACGGTATGGTCCTCATCTAGGGATGAGCCATATCTATAACCCGCAAGAACCATATACTCTGTAATAACCCTCACCCTCACCGCAAGACCCGGACCACAGGACCAAGGGGGGTGTATCTTTCTCAGCCCCCGATGAAATTCTGTGAAACCTATATAAGCCCTCTACGATCCCTCCAGAAAACTTTCTAACCTTTTATCAACCATATAACAGCTATGAACCCCGTGTAAACCCTGTATATGAAATCCGATCAAACCTTTTCAAACCTTCTATCTCTATCTCTGTAACATCGGTATCCAACTAAATCAAACCTTCAAATGCTCTCCATGCAGACCTTTTCTAAACCTGTAGAACCCCACCAACCCCGGACCACAGGACCACGGTTTAGGGTTTAGGGTAGAGGGCGGG